GTTCTTTGTTCTGACCACTTGCACATGGAGGCGAAAGAAGACACTCACGGCTTAATCCGTCCCCGCCAGAGGCATGCTAAAACCATCTGGGCCCAAAACCAAACGTAAGGTTTCTCTGTGACTCCTATATGAGAGGGGGAACGGGGGAGGATGGAGAGAGAGAGAGAGAGAGAGAGAGGGGGGGGGGGAGGGGGAGACAGAGAGAGTTAAAGAGAGAAAGAGAGAGAGAGAGAGAGAGAGAGAGAGAGAGAGAGAGGTGGAAAGTTAAGAGGAAAAAGAGGGGGAGACAGAAAGGTAGGAGGAACCAGAAGGGAGTAAAGGGGGGGGGGATTTGGATTTGGAACAAGAACCAGGCTACACTGACGTATACTGTCTTTGTGGTTTCCAGTCCTGACCCTCTGACCCTATACATCCTGTCGGAGGCGTGGAGGCTGGTGGAGGGAAAGACGAGATGGCAGCTATAGGCACCATGGCTGTGTGTGTGTGTGTGTGTGTGTGTTGTGTGTGCCCGCCGAGGCAGACAGCACGTCTCAGGGTCCAATATGAATATGTGAGTGGATGCTAAAGAGCTCTATCTGTCTCTCAGGTGTGACTTTTCACACCCATCTTCCCAACGTGTTGACATCCACTCCCTGCAGAATCTCATGTGTGTGTGTGTGTGTGTGTGTGTGGAGGGGGGGGGCAATGGTCTCTCCAACATTCCCACTCTCCTGCCGAGAGCTCTCGTTTGTCTCCTGCATTCCTTTGCCCATTCATCTCTTTTCTCCTCTCAAAAAAAACAACTCTTTACACGGGGGAGGGGTCTTCAAAAAAATCCTCAGAGTGGAATCGGTCCCCCTTGAGCGCAGCCCCCCCCCTCCCCTCCCTCCCCTGTTTTACTTGGTTAGTGAAGCAGCAAAGCTCAAAGAAAGGGAGGAGAAAGACGAGATGCATTCTTTCTCTCCCTCTTGCTGTCTCTCTCAGTGTGTATCGGGGGCTGAGCTGAGCTGTGGCTTATTTTTAATGACTGGTTAAGAAAATGAAAAAAAAAATGAGGGGCAGGGCTGGGTCTCTTCCCCTCACACACACACACACACACACACACACACACACACACACACACACACACACACACACACACACACACACACACATTACTGCAGCCGAGTCTGGGACTTTCACAGAGAAGTCTTTAATTTGCACTGGGCCTGGCCTCCCACACTGCACGGCCCAAACCACCCACTTACAGCCCTGCTCCATTCCTCAGAGTCACTCCAACACCCCCCCCCCCCCTTACTTCCTGAACAGTGAAAGCAACATTGAACTCTCCACCACACTATTATGCTGTCAAGAAAAGTCGAAAAACTTTCAACATTCTGCCGAGAGAGAGCGGAGCAAAAGAAGAAGCACAGCTTGTTGTTGGGGAGTTTTAACTCCTCAGTGGGTTTTTTTATTCACTCGGGGGGGGGGGGGCTTTACATTTGCGGGCCCTGCCTTGCCCAAGCTTTAGCACACAGGAGCCATGAGGATCATCCACAGTCAACACTGAGGAAATCCTTCTCGAAGGCTTTTGCTACCTCCTGATGCCAAAACACAAGACAGGAAGTGGCAAGAAGGGTGGAGTGGGACCAACGTGACATAGAGCCCCCCGTCTGCTTGATCAGACATGCTGAACGTGCTGTCTGCATCCTCACATGGGGGAAAGTTAGCTCCTGTTTTGAAGCAGGTATCTGGTGCATGTTTTCTCTCTCTGCAGAGTGAGGGGGGGGGGGGGGCAGCAGGGGGTCCATTGCTGCAGCCATTCTTTGTGTCAGCTCCTCCTCTCAGACCGAGAAGAGAGAGAGAATGAATGAAACTCTCTTGCTTTTACGCTTCCTGTGTCAAAAAGATATCCAAACACCGCTCTTCCTCCCTGAATGGCCGCAATCAAAGCATTCCAGGCCGTAACAGGCCGGGACCAATTAAGTCGTAAGTAAACCTAAAAACAACCTAACAGCTCTCCTGCACATTTATCCTGTTGACTTTTATTCTGCTGCAGAGCGTGTCCAGGCAGGAATCGCCGCTGATTCAGGTCATGGAAATTCACCCCCCTCATTACAGATGATCGAGTCTATGATGCAGCAATTTGTGCACAAATATTCAGCAAGTACGTACAGGTGAGAGTCAAGTGAGGAGGCTATACTGCATCATGTTACACATGATTTTGGGCCGCATTCAACTCTCACAGTGTGGACGCCAGCCTGACTGGAGGTCCTGCTTCAGAGCAGCTGACGCTCTGATGACATCTAGTGAAAGATTTCGTATTGCAAGTTAAGTTTTTTATTCCTTTTCCATGCTCACATCTGGAGCACAAAAAAAAAGATTATTTCAAATTCCATTTCATTTCAAACCTTTGTTTAAAGTCTTTATATGTGATGTTTTGATCCAGCAGATGTCGCCCTTGAGCACCAGCATGAAACCAAAACAACTTGCGCTGCATTGTTGTGTTAGCATGCTAATGCTAGCAATCTTTATTCTGCTGGTATCTTCACACTGCATGTAAATTTACCTGAAATGAGCGTGATCTAGAAACACAGTTAAGCAGTGAGTACAGTATGTTATTCTTCTTTCTCTAGTCCCTCAATTAAACAACTTTTATACACGAGGGGAGGAGTCAGCCGGCCGTCCGGGCGATGTAAACAAAGTGAAGATAGGACTCTGAAAACTCTGAAAACATCACAGACAGTGGGACTCGGGTGTTACACCCATTGTAGACAGTCATGACTCACAGAGTTATTTTCAGAGGAGATACTTGATTTCTACATTTAAGTGTGAAAAATCACAAATAAAACCTTTAAGCCTCGAAAATCCTTGAGTTTTCCCTCATTTACAATGATGTCGAGATACAAATAAAACAATAAAGACAGGTCAGGATCAAAGAATTACGGGACTTGGAGCAATAGACAATCAGTAGAGCGAGTGCGGTAGCAAATGAAATGTGACATCACAGCACGCTGAGAAGAAGACGAAGAAAGCTGAGCAGGAAGTTTAAATCAAATCTGTAAAAGCAGGACTAACAGGTAGAGAATCCACCAAAATTAAATTTCTCTGCATCTGCTCATCATGATTATTAACACTCCTGATCTGACACTGAGCCGTCTGAACGAGATGCTGAGTGGTTTTTTTCCTCCTCACGTCAGAGAAAAGAAAGAAAAGAGCGACAGAGCAAGTTCCCACTGGCTTTGCATTCTCAGACAGTCGTGACAGGATGAAGTAATTACTGAGCGGTTGACACACACACACACACACACACACACACACACACCACCAGCATGGTGAAGATTTATCTCCTCCAGGAAGAGAGATCGCCCAAATCACAGTTTACCCACATGGAGATGATCCCTGCAGCTGCACACACACACACACACACACACACACACACACACACACACACACACACACACACACACACACACACACACACACACACACACACACACACACACACACACTCCCTCTTGAAACCACAACTGCTCTATTCCTCCTTTTTAATATTCCACATGTGTGTGTGTGTGTGAGTGTGTGTGTCACCACATGCCTCGACCCAGCCCCTCGCTTCCTGTCAAACACACCTTCTCGTACCTTCAAAGCGTGACAGCAGTGAGGGAGAAACAGAGAAAAATGAGCGAGACAGATGACACCTCACCGCAGCACTGTTTAATTTACATCCTCCCTCTTTGTATAATAATTCCACCTTGAAGGACGGCACCTTTGATCCACTGACACACAGGTGCATCTCCCCATTGCTGCCACATTGGATGCTAAGGCAGGGCTTTATCTGTCCCTGTAATTAACACCAGAGCAGGAAACAAGAGCACTGTGTGTGTGTGTGTGTGTGTGTGTGTGAGCAGGCCAGGCAGGGAGGGATTGATGGAGCTCAAAGCAAGAAATTCCTAAGTGAACATTGTTTGATCCTCCATGTCTCTCGGGCACATCACAGATACAGTATCTCACTTTCTGTAATTTAGAGACACACACACGCCGCGCACACGCACACGCACACACACACACACACACACACACACGCACACGCACACGCACACACACACACACACACACACACACGCACGCGCGCACACACGCAGTGGACGGCTAAGATAAGATTCAACATGTGCCTGAAAATCTGTGTCTGACAGCAGGAACACAAGATAAAACTTGCGAGTGGTCTCCAAATGTGAAGCGGCCACTGCTGAGAGGAAAACATGAGACGCTGAGCGGGACTGATTCTACCAGTGGAGACGGAGCTCCCTCTAGTGGTGACACATGGAATTAAAAAGAAAAACAGTTTGATGAAGGCTGTATTTAAGTTTCATATTTCATTAGATAATTATTATTAAGACAATTATTTACTCCCCCAACATGTGGAACTATTTCTTTAACCTTTCATCAAATGGTTTTACTGATGATTCTGTAAAAGTCTCTATGAGAGTTTTAATAATTCATACAAAGATCTGTGCATAAACGTCACGCCAGGAGGAAAATGATTAATGGAGTAGTTGAGTTCAAACATTTTCCAATTTGAACTAAAACACTTCATTAATTAATTTTTAAAATGTGTTCAGCCGCTTGGAACAGTTATTCCTTAAAGTTTTACCAACACTGTTTACATACATTAAATACATCTATATATATAAATTCAAAGGCAGGCATTAAGGGGGGGCGGTAGACTAGTGGTTAGTGTACAGAGGCTTAAGTACTCCCGAGCGGGCGGCTTGGGTTCGAATCCGACCTGTGGCTTCTTTCCTGCATCTCGTTCCTCTCTCTCTCTCTCTCTACTGTGCTGTCTCTAAATAAATAATAAGGAGGCTCTTAAAATGAAAACATGGTTCATGTAGTTTTGTGAGTTTGTCCTTGAAAAGATAAAACATTTTCGGGGGGGCTTTGACCACTAGTGAGAGGTTGGAACAATAAATTAATCTGAGTGAAAGAATCCTTCAGGTTTAACCAAGAAAGCAGGCGGGCGGCCCGGGTTCAAGCCCGACCTGTGGCTCCTTTCCCGTATTTGATTCCCGAGTCTCTCATCCCGATTTCCTTCTCTATCCACTGTGAAAACTAGGATTATCATCCATCCATCATCTATACCACTTTTACATTTCGGGGTCACGGTGGACTCGAGGCGATCCCAGGTGTCATTGGACGAGAGGCGGGGTTACACCCTGGACTGTTCACCAGCCAATCACAGGGCTGACATGTAGAGACAGACAACCAGCCACACTCACATTCAGAGAGTCTCCAGTTAATCTAACGAGCATGTCTTTGGACTGTGAGAGGAAACCGGAGAGAACCCACACATGCACAGGGAGAACATGCAGACTCCACACAGAGAGAGGCTCCTGTCAGACGGGGATTCTAACCAGGAACCACTGCACCACCGGGCCGCCCTTTAAATATGACAAAAAGTCTAATTATGAATAATAAAGAACAACAAGTCGCTAAATAATTATTTATAGCGTGGTTATTAAGCAGCCTTCCTCGTGGACTTTAAATAATATAATATGATATGACTGTGGCCTACTTGGATCACAGAGTGTGTGTGTGTGTGTGTGTGTGTTTGTGTGTGTGTGTGTGTGTGTGTGTGTGTGTGTTGCTGGCATGTTGTGCTCAGGAGGGCCGCGGAGCCTCGTCCTAGAATAGAAAGCTTAAAGCTCGGAGGTGAAGCGGCGAGCGACATAGCTGGCATCGTTTCCCGAGCACGAGCTGCAGAGAGCGTCTGAGCACTGAAACACAGACTGCTCGTTACGGGGTGGGGGGTGGGGGGTGTAAGGGGGGCCCTTCATTAACCATGGCATGGCCTCAAACAGGTAAGTGGCACCTGTTGATATCTTTTCCCATAAGGCTGTGCGGGCTCAGCATTTTTCTGCAACCGCCCTGTGAGATGATCTGGACTTCCTGAGTTGGGGGGGGGGGGCTGAGTGTGACCTAAATATCCGCACCCCGCAGAGCGCTGTGCTGTGTTGTGATGCTGTGCCAGGTCTTTGCTCTGTGGGATGCGGGCCCAACCTGTCGTCCTCCCATCAGGATATGAGACCAAAATAAACCCGAGCTGGAAGGTGTTCAGCATTTCCGGCCACCATGAGGTGCATGGCGAGCAAACAGCACGTCAGCTGCTAGGGGTCCAGTTTGGAGGGAAAACACCGTTGAACGGCCAGTTTCAGGACTCGGTTTTACAGAGTAAGAACGTGTTGGTGACATTTATGACTCCAATCTGAATTAAATGAAAGTTTTATTGACTTTGTCCTAAACATTTTTTAAATCCAGCACTTTATTAGTTTCATGATGGAATCCTTTCTTTCCTCATAATTATCTGTATGTCACCATTAGAGATAGAGTCAGCAGCTTGTTCCTTCAAAATAAAATACATATTTATCCTAAGTGAAGCTGCTCGTCGTCCCTTCTGGGCCTCCTACATGTGTGGTGGTGACTGTCTGCAGAGACTCTGTCCTCTGACTGGATTTTACTGTTCTGGTTGACTCGTGGTGTTTTTGGGCGGGGAGGCTGGTGTGTTTCCTTTCAGCCAATGACAGCGCAGCAGGTGAGTTTAGGAGTGGATACAATTCAGTGATTGGACGAGATTCAAAAGTGATTTTTTTTTTTATATTCATTTAAAGGATTTTTTATTGTTTAATTATCTTTTATTAATCACTATCATCAATATTAAGTGCTTTTTTTATTTCTACTCTCTCTCTCTCTCTTTTTACTATTTATTATTTTAACTATTAGTTTTAATTTACGTTTTAATTATTTTTTTAACTCTTTACTTTTAATATATTTGATTGCTGTTGGTGTCAGTAGTCTCTACGCTGCCTGTGCTATGTTTAGAAAAGTGTTATCAGTGCAGGAATTCAAATAGAAACATATAAAATACTTTATTAAGATCATTTCAAAGGGAGCATGTCTTTGTCATGTGTCCTTTAATTCTCATATTGTTTGTTTTTCACTCTGTAGCTGCCTCATGTTTGAATGTTGTTCTGTAAATAAACTTCTTTAATGAGGCAGTCACCTGATTTTATTCTCATCTTTTAAAATCAACAACTTCACACTTTTCCTCCATTTTTCACGTCCAGCATGAATAAGCAGAAAGCATGGGCTGGGCGCTGAGTGTGTGCATGTAAAGCGCAATCTCAACAAGAATACACAACTTCCGCTTAGCGTTTCAAAGTAAAAGTCAGTGACGCACTTCAAATTTCACTTTCCCCTGACTCTGAGTCGGGCTCTTTCTTTATGCTCTGAATAGCTATTTCCGTTTTTTTAAAACTATTCTAGGATACTACAAAACAATGTGCTTAGCAAGATTTTGTCAGAGCAATCCCGCTACTTGTTGCTCCCCTTCCACATCAGACGCTTTATTTTGAAGGCACCATCAGCTAAGTTGACTGTAGTGGCAGCTCGCCATCAGTCCCCCCCCCCTTGCCTCCTTCTCAAACAGCCAGGGAAACATGCACTGCAGCGGGTTTTTCTACTCA